GGTCGGGAGTTCAAGACCAGCCTGACCATCATGGAGAAACCCCGTCTCTACTAAAAATACAAAATTAGCCGAGCATGGTGGCGCATGCCTGTAATCCCAGCTACTTGGGAGGCCGAGGCAGGAGAATCGCTTGAACCCGGGAAGCGGAGGTTGCAGTGAGCTGAGATTGTGCCACTGCACTCCAGCCTGGGCAAGAAAAAACAAAACTCTGTCTCAAAAAAAAAAAAAATTTAGAACCCCATTTCTGGAGGACTAATTCCTAATGTGGACTATCAATCCAAGTGTAGATGAATGAAGCACCATAGGCCGTGTGATACGGTTTTCATTCTAGCACAAAACGTAACTCTCACTACCCATGGCCCTGTTGATAACTAAGGATCTGATACTGGCTTCCTGATATTTCTTTTTTTGGAGACAGAGTCTCGATCTGTTGCCCAGGCTGGAGTGCAGTGGTGCAATCTTGGCTCACTGCAACCTCTGCCTCCCGCATTCAAGTGATTCTCGTGCCTCAGCCTCCTGAGTAGCTGAGATCACATGTGTGTGCCACCACATCTGGCTAATTTTTGTATTTTTAGTAGAGACAGGGTTTCACCATGTTGGCCAGCTGGTCTCGATTCCTGAGCTCAGGTGATCCACCCTCCTTGCCTCCCAAAGTGCTGGAATCACAGGTGTGAGCCACCAGGCCCAGCTACTTCCTGATATTTCTGAAAACTCTGTTTTTACATTTTCTGTTCTGGAACACTTCAATCACGTGCTCAGTGGTTTTTTTCCTTAATGAGAGTAGATGTGTGGAGACGCTTTCCAGAGGGGATTTCCCCTAGCTAACTGCAAATTCTTTCTGTTCCCTTTTTTGTACTATTTTTCCTAATCGTTAATTTTTACTGTTCGTAAGCATTTCCTCAAATATTATTAAATATATTATTTAAAATAGAATCAGTGCATTTTTAAAATCTTAATATTAAGTAATATTTATTAATATTAGTCGTATTTCTATTATTTAAATATTTATGATTAATATGAAATAATATATCTATTGTTTAAATATTTATCAGTACATTTTTTCCCCCTTTAAGTTAAAAAAAGAGAGAGAGAGAAACAAGAGAAGGAGTCCTTCCTCAGATTTAGTTTATGCTTTTGGCAAACTTTTCATCTTTTCAGTTGAATTAGTGACAATTACTTGTTGCATTAGAAGACTATGGTAATGACTTCAA